CTAATTATTCACCAAAAATATAAATTAAACTATTATTATTAACATTAAAGTCATATATAAAAAATATAATTTTATGTTACTTTAACTATCAACAATTGAATTTGGTGAGATGTAATCTGAACCGTTTAAAATAAATGTTTCATTTTTTTTATGGTAAGATCAAGTTGGTGGGTACGAAATTGTTTTTCCTTAATTGTCATTTTATCAATTTTTTTTAAATTATTTACAAAATTTTAAATTAAATAAATCATTTTAGAGATAACTTTTTTATGAAGAATTGTTGTTTGAAAATTTATTTGAAGGTTTGTTGGGTGTTAAATACAACAAATTGTATGAAAGAGTAATGTACTTTAACTTGATTTATATTTTGGATAACGTAATTTGAAACTTTTATTTTGGTACTTAAGATGTAAAATTTTAAACATTTAAGTACCCGAGTAACTGATTGAAACATGAAACAGTTATCATGTTGATGTAGCAAGTAATGTGGTATCTAACTCAATATTATTTCATGATGTGGTTCGTGACATGAATTTTTTAATCTAAAATTAGTCTTCAACCGGTTACCCGAGTACTTAAATATTTAAAATTTACATCTTAGTTATCAAAATGAAAGTTTTTAAAGTATGTTACCCAAAATAAAAATCAAGTTAAAATACGTTATTTTTTAATCCAATTTGCCCTTACATAAATTATTATTTCAAATCTGAATCCAACTTTTACCGAACTGCTAGCCTCAACTATTGAGTGTGTCAAAAAAAATACCTCATCACGTTAACCTCCTTGAAGGCAAGTTTCATGTGAGGAGGACTGAAGTTACTTTTTTTTCTTGTCTATTTTTTGTTAAAATTTAAAAGTTTATAGTTCATATATGGGTTGATCCTGGTGAGAACGAAAGTTACGATGAGAAAAGTAATAAGGGATCTTCACCTATGAATCAATCTTAATTGAAGATCAACCTTAATGAGATACTGAGCTCTATCAGATCAATCCTCGTATCAAACACAATTAACATGGTGTGGTGAGATTAAAAGTGATCAAGCGTTCAAATCCCTTCTTTCGTTTCTCACCAAAGTCTTATTCTCACACTCGATCGTGTATATATATATATATATATATATATATATATATGTGTGTGTGTATATATATAACTGACAAAAATTAACAGAAATAGCCATTTCGGGGATCAAATTCATCTCTTAATCATTTTTGTTTCGAAATTTCAAAAACATTCACTACTTACTAAAATGGCATCTCCATGACTTGCAGGGCAATGAAAGGAAAAAAAAAATACAATTCACTTTTCACACAATTTCCCTGTAACTAACCGTGGGGGTCCGCGAAAAAGGAGATGATGCGGCGCTTATATGTCGCGAATGTCACCAACAACCTTCACCTTCATCCATAAGCTTTCATGTTTTTGACTCTCTTTCTCTCTCTCTCACACACACATACATATTCATATCTGTCAAATAATTTCATCCAAGTTTTGAAATATTTTGATTCCTTCAACGTCTTTTCGATAAGATGCTGTGCAGAGGAAACAATGCGATTAAGTGTAGAAAAGCTGGATCAGTTCCGGTTTACCTGAATGTTTATGATCTTACCTCCATGAACGGATATGCTTATTGGCTTGGCCTCGGCGTTTATCATTCCGGGGTTCAAGGTGTGATCTCGGTGTTCTACTTGTTGATTCAATGAATTAACAAGCTCGTAGTTTCGTTAAATTGATTCACAGAAGAATTTATTTATTTGTTTGATGTTATTTACTTAATTTGTTAATGGTTTTAGTTCATGGAGTTGAGTACGCTTTTGGATCTCATGAACAAGCGACGACTGGAATCTTCGAGGGAGAACCGAGACAATGCGAGGGATTCACGTTCAGGAAGCAGATACTGATAGGATGGACGGAAATGAGTCTAAGAGAGGTCCGAGGATTCATGGAAGAACTAGCTCAAGACTACAAAGGAATTTCATATAATCTAATCACCAGAAACTGCAATCACTTCTGCAATGATGTTTGTCTCAGACTCACCGGAACTCCGATTCCGAGTTGGATTAATCGTCTAGCTAGAATCGGTAAACCGCCAATTATTTCAACCTTTTCAGTTCATAGACATCATCTTCCATCGAATCAAATCCCTAACACATTTCCGGTGATGTTTAGGTTTATTGTGCAATTGTATAGTTCCAGCGAGTATAAACACGACTAGAGTTGGAATCGAGGACAACAAGGTTTGTAATGAAGCAGAGAATAAGTCGAAGCTGAGAAGCCGTTCGAGTAGGTTCACTTCACCTTCGAGTTTCTCCGCAGTCTTCTAAAACGTCGACGTTTGCATCATCTCCGGTTAATCGGACCAGAAGTCACCTCTCTCCGGCCCATCCTCACTTCAGATGTTTGATTCTTCTTTTTCTTCATTGACAAGCCGTCTCAGAGTGGTAAATTGGTAATTATATTTTGTTTGTTCCTTTTTTATTTATTTATATTACTTTTATTTAGGCACTCTTCAGCCATGGAGTTGAAAGAAGCTTTGGTTGTTTTAACAACTCAGAATTTATATTCGGTTGGTCTTGGACACCTGGTTGATTCTTAAGATAATTATGATAATCTAGAGAAGTTGATTTCGAGTATAATGCATACCTACTTTCAGGTTGGTCATAGTGTTTATGCCGAAAATTCTCTAAAGCGACCTTTTCGAGAAAAACGCTGACCAGTGAAAATAGAATGAAATTGATAATTGATGAAAATAAGAATGAATTTTTATTCCCCAAGTTTAATCGGGAATGAAATTTTGGGCTTCTGAAAGAATGAGCTAGTTATATTATAGAAAACCAAACAATTTCTTTTATTTTTATTCTCATTGATTACTGTTTAACATCTCTAATAAAATATCCTTAAGTAAAGGTGATGAAAATCTTTAAATATGGAGAATTTCGTAAAAATAATTACCGTGAAAAGAGAAATAATATTTTATTCTCTATATTAATAAATTTCTTGAAAATAAAGGGGTGTTTGGGATTACTTTTAAAAACAACTTATTGACTTATTCCAGTGTGACACCGGTAATAAACACTTTTGAATGTTTGGATAAACAACTTATATCGGTTCCAAACCAGTAATAAAAAGTTTTTGAATAAGTTAAACTATTCTAACTTATAATAAGTTGATAAGAACTTTTATAGAAAAACATAAATTGTTTCAAATAAGCAAACCCCAAACACCCTTAAATATTTACGAGAAAAAAATTTAATATTTTATAAATTGTATTGAATAATTTAATAATGTAAATAACATTTAAGCTCTTGAAGATGAACCTATTTTCTTTTAAATTTTGACTTTTAATTTATTATTTTATAGAATTTATTAAAAATGCTATTGACATAAATGGGTAGTTGGTAGTCTGTATAAATCTATATATATATATTAAAGAAGAAACCACTATGTATGATGTGGCCTCTTCTAAAAGCTAGGAGCTTATTTATCTTTTTTCTTCTTTTTTTTGTTTTTTAAAATACTAATTAAGTTAAAGACTATTATGCCCCTACAAGCAAATTGTATATTTCATAATAGATGAGATCATTTGGTAATTTTGCATCCAAC